AATGATATTATTGGTGCTTAGTTAAACTCCTAACAACGTAATGTTGATGCCAGATAAAAGAGCTTGGCAAATGTAATAAATTGCACTTTATAGTTTTTTTATATAACCATCTTGATTCTTCATCAAAGAATTATGGGTAAAGTTTTTTCCCTTTTAAGATTCTGTAAATTTATGTGATTATAGTGGGCATACTTCACTAAAACGGCATGTACATGTAGTTATATAAAAGTGTTTTACAGTATGTCTATCATTTCATGTAATTATGTGTTCATTAAACTACGGAAATACAACTTAAAGTTTGTTGACCTTTCCCATGATGCAATGCCTGAAGTGATATAGTGAAACATTCCAAATACATACATGTTGAATATAGTGAGAAACTTACTTTTTGAATGCCTCAATATTGGCAGGAATTGTTAGTCTTTTACCAGTTCCACCAGCAATATACCCAAAAAGATCAGCGGGTACATGATCTCTGGCATACTGCTCAAAGTCATCACAGCATATCAATTGTGAAGACTGTGACCTGAAACAATATAACGATTATAAATAAATTTAAGTATGGAGTAACAGTGAGATATGAATGAATGAATGAATGAATGAATGAATGAATGAATGAATGAATGAATGAATGAATGAATGAATTAATTAATTAATTAATAATAACTATAATGTATTACAGTATCCTTAGAAATGCAACGTTTCTATCAGTTAATAGCAATAAAAACTAGTTGGGAATGAATTGAAAAAATAATGAATCCTGAATATAAATAAATACTACTAATAATACATTTTTGGTGAGCGATCACAGAGTTTATCAGAATTAATTGGGTCTGTAATCCCTGTATACATAATTTTATGGTTTAATAAAATAAATATTAAATAAAAAAAAAATAATAAAGAAAAATATTATAGAGAATTTTTTTTTAACTAATGATCAAAGTATAAAAAATGAATTATCAATAAGAGACCCTCTGTGGTTAACTGTTTCCAGTTTTACACTACAATTTAAACAATTTTCCTGAAATGAGGCCTCATTATACCAATTCTCAGGGGCAGACATTCAGGCAAACAAAGGGAAAACAAAGGCTGAAATCTCTTAGAAAACTGCACTTTGTAAGAAGACTACCCCCTACAAGTGCAACATATATGAATTTGGTGTCTAAGGATTACCTTAAAATTGAAATTGTTTTTTGACTTTAGCTGTTTTCATCATCTCTTTGATCGGCGATGCAAATCAGCTCTCGCAGAGCCCATACTAGAAATTGATGTGTACGTTATGTGATGTACTTCCACCCAGAGAATAATAATACAAACTATGATACCAGAATAACCTCTTATAACCTTAGATATTTGAGTGTGATTTAGTTTTGCTGGAAACCAGAAAAGTTGTGAAAAACAAATATATTATATATACACCGGTATCCTGATTGGCCTAAAAGCAAACTTGCCTTTGATGTTAAAAGCGGGAGGGTCGTCACTTGCGCACGTGCGGGAATTGGGTCCCAAGCGATGTTAACAACACAAGCTAAAAACGCAAAGGCTCATGGGTAGACGTTTGTTTGTAAACAATGACACGCTATGCCCATCTGACACATGCGCAGGTGACGACATCCCCGCTTTAAACATCTCGTTTGTAAACAAGCCCGCTTTAAGTATTTAATTGTTTATGTTAACAATTTAATTGTGGTGTACAGACATCGTTAAATTCAGTTTCTCTGCCGGTGAACGTTTTACAATATTATACTTACCGAGGCTCTTTTTTTTCGAATAGACGATATATAAAAACTATAACAGAATGCACACAAGTAGAAATACACAATCTTCAAAGTACATGGTCTACGAAAAATAACAGAACGAGTGGTTATGGAGGGGTAATTTTCACTGCTATATGGTTTGTCCACAGTAGAGGGACTGTGGTTTGTCATACATGTAACCAGCTGGTGTATCAAACTTACACATCAAATTATATATTTACCCTGTACCACAGATAGAGGGACTGTGCCTGTACTGTAGTCGTTCAACAAGTTTAAAGTTCGGATTAGTACTTTTATAACTTATAAGCTGCGGTCCAACGCTTAAACTGCTTTTGAATTTGACGTGTTCAAGATTGTATTTTGTTTCACTTCGCAAGCCCCTGAAAAGTGAATAAATGCATATCTCGGGATACGGCCGGTCATGGCACAACCGATCACAGCTGAAGTTTATACTGAGAGGTCAGATCAGATCACCGACTTCCGTAATCACCGTGCTAGTCGAGTCACGCCCTCTAGCTAGCTGACACAACGACCATTTTTGATTTTGTCGTTGATGGCGTTTATCGTACAATGGGACATAAAAACACATAGAGGGTGTAGTAAAAAATGCATTTCATGAGCAGATATTTAATGAACACAGTGTATCAATTTTGGAATGTATCACATGAAAACTTTCTGAGTTCTCAAGTTCACAAGGTTAACACCTATTTTTCATCATATCAAAAAAAAAAGTTATGTATGTGCGGCAACCAAATTTCTCAGCAGATCCAAATTACATACTAATACATACAATCATGCTGATCATGATGCTACAATAGTGAGATAGGAAACTACTGACAAACATCAAACGAGATGACAAGATAGAATATATGAACTTGTTTTGCAAAATTTATCATTCAGTGCCTCTAGCTTTCAGTGTATGTTTATAGCTTCCTGGCTGAATTCTGCATTTTCTTGTGATTACAAGTATTGAAATTGAAATTGTAGGGTCTATGGCAAGATGCATTAGTTTAGAAACAATCACACGTCAAAAGGCCATAGTCGTAATTCATTCCAGAGCACAAGTTCAATTTAAGACTAATTTTCGCAGATTTCAGAAATTGGCTGATAATAATTAGATATGCATCAATATACATGTTTTTTCATTACTAAACTAATCATGTCTGTGATGATTATGCAATTAGTATGCTCGAATTTCAATCCAAAACTAATGCATTGTTCTCAGGCAAGGTATATACAAGGTCTTATTGAAATGCAATAATGGATATGCGAAAAACATGGGTAATTATTATGCAAATTAAGCAATTATTATGCACATGTTTCAACCTTAAACTAAATAGGTCTGTGTACCAAGTTTCATAATAATGATTTTTTTTTTTTACAAATTAGGTAATTTTGGATGTATATAAACCCAAAACTAATTAGTTACATTGTCTTACATACCAAGATTCATTTAAAAAAGATAATTACTTGAGATATTTATAGGAAAGCTGAAAACTATGCATTTAGGGTAATTAATATGCACAGATTTTATCAAATTACTTTGAAATGTAATTAGAACTTGATATCGATAGAAAAGCCAAAAAATTACGCAAATTAGGTTATTAATATTCACATATTTAAACCAAAACTAACAAGTCTGACCATTGTCCTAGAGCATCCATGTGCCAAGTTTCATTGAAATGTGATGATTAGCACCAAGATATCAGTGGAAAAGGCAAAAATTATTATTCATTATGGAAATTAGGTAATATGCACCTTTGTCAGAGGTCAAAATGAAAAACAAATGTACATATATAGTATTGGAAGTAAGGGGCACCCATCTTCCAGGAATAAAGTTTATAAAAGTAATAATGGCTCATTGTGGCACTTTGTTTTGGAAATTGTTTTATGAATTTCGAGAAAGTTAAGTGTACCAAGTTTCATGAAACGGCTGCTGACATGTAACAATGACTTAGCACTTTCTCATCAAAAAATGGTCGGCCGAATTACATCATAAAAAACGTTGGTGTCGATGTATCCAAGATTAAATAAATCTATGACAGTATCCGAAAAAATGGGGGAAAATGTGTGAAAAAAACATAATGGTCACAAGTTGGTGAAATTTGTTTGAATCATGGGAAAAAACCAAAAAGACACTTATGTTCCAAGTTTCATTGAAATAAATGGTTCGAGATATGGGTGGAAATTTGCTAATTATGCAAATTAGGTAATTTTAACTTCAAACTAGTAAGATATATGCATTGTTCTTGGGCAGCTGTGTCAGAGTGTCACAGAAACACAATTAGTTCTAGAGATATTGTTAAAAACTAAACAAAATCGCCTCACAGAAACTTCTCACAAGCAGGTGCCTACTTACTGGAAAGATTAGCTTTAAATGATCACTGATCACAAATTTAATCACGCTCACACTTGTCGCATACGACTTGTTTACCACTTCCGTGTCACTGAGAATGTTCTAGAAACGTACTGTGTCTTGGTGGAATATTCTAGATTTTTTTTTAGAAAATGGTTGAATAGGTAATTGAACACTGTAGAAGGCAATAGAAGGTAATGGAACATTCTAGAAATTTGTAGTAAGTTCCAGACTCGTGTATGCTGATGTAATGGTCTATTTATAGACAGTGTAGGTATATATAGGGGAGTTGTTCAGCACAGAGTTCAGATCGGAGATCTCGTTGAATTGTATTGGAGTTTAAGTATCTAGTTATTGGAGTAGTGGAGTTTTATCGCGTTATTGTACTTGATGTTTGCAGAGTATAATAATACCAGTACCAGTTGAAACCTCATCTGTTGGCTCCGTGTTCGTATGTTATCATCGCCGCCAGGGAAGTCTTTCTGTTACTGTTGCCATTTTGGTATTTGAACCATCACACCTGTACTATACCAATTACGGTAATATTACGTTGCGTGTGACAACACTGAACAAGTAAATGCTATCGGCCACAAAAGCCATAAACTTTATTACAAACACATTGCATTCAATCTTGATACAACACTAACCTGACTTAACCAACATTCTATTTGACAGAAGCAAGCTTACCTACATATACACTACTACATCTGTCATCAGCTGATTTAAGTGTGTAAAGAAACGCAATGTAAATAATTTTGCATATTTTGGAGCATGTTTCTTCAAACATGTATGGATGGTATAAATTTTATTCAAACAAAATGTTTCAACAGTAAACGTACCAGTTTTTCGTTGGTTGCAACAATAAAAATGTTCGTGTGTATGCAATTCAATTACCTGAAGTTAAATCCGAAGAGCATTTCGTGTTTTGCATTACTGCATCAAACAAATACTACCACGATAACAAAATATGGCAATCAAACAAAAATTCAACATGCTCTAAAATTATCAAAACTTATCAACATTGCTTCTTATGGTCACTAATTAATCATAATAACATTAATAGTCAGTGGAATACGTTTCAGCAAGATTTACAGAGCTACAAGCCGTATTACAGAACATAATTAATACAACGCATACATGGCATTTACACAGTTTATCTGATGATGTAGGATGTCTCACGATGTAATGATAATGTAAACTTTTTAAACAGAAGACAAGTGGAATATAATGGTACTGATATGTCAAGCACAGGATTTTTGTGATGAATACTCAAATAAATAATACTATCTAAATCAAAAATCCATCACAAGAATTACCTTAATAAGATTTGCATATTTTGTTGAGGAAAAAAAAAATTATTTATTAAAGTGCATACAACAAATAACAAAATGAATGATTTAAAATAAAATCATCTTCAAACAAAAAAATGTAATGATCACCGAATTTGCAAGCTTATCATATATGCAAGTATTTTGGGTACCATGATATCAATAGTCTAGATAATATTTTGCCTTTTGCTGATTGGCTAATAGATAAAGCAGGCTGCTCATGTGTAACAGTTACAAGATTTTCTCATGCACGCTACGCAAGTGTGATCACCTCATACTTCATGATGTTGCAATACATTTACATGGTGAAAGAGCAAAATATTAGCAGGAAGTCCAATGTGGAATGTTGATAACAAGCAGTATAATCTGGTAGCCTCACTAACAAAGATGACACTGGCAGTTGCCACACATTAATACCAAGAAACTGCACATGTTCTACAAATATTACATAATCACAGAAATGTGCTTCTTGACAGTAATTATGTTAAGTTGTACAACATTAATTGAGATTTATTGAGCTTTTGCTAGAGCTACCACTGTGAAATGAAGTTCAGCCGGATCTCGTGCCATAAATGCCTTGCATGCACCAGCAGCATCCTGAAATTCAAAACAAACATAATCAAGGAATTGATACATAGACAACAGGCAAAGAGACCAAACAAGATTGTATTGTAGACTGACAGAGGTCAAACTAGTTTACTTGGTCAACTGACGAGGTCAAACTAGTTCACTTGGTCAACTGACGAGGTCAAACTAGTTTACTTGGTCAACTGACAGGGGTCAAACTAGTTTACTTGGTCAACTGACAGAGGTCAAACTAGTTTACTTGGTCAACTGACAGAGGTCAAACTAGTTTACTTGGTCAACTGACAGAGGTCAAACAAGTTCACTTGGTCAACTGACAAAGAGGTCAAACAAGTTCACTTGGTCAACTGACGAGGTCAAACAAGTTTACTTGGTCAACTGACGAGGTCAAACTAGTTTACTTGGTCAACTGACGAGGTCAAACTAGTTTACTTGGTCAACTGACGAGGTCAAACAAGTTCACTTGGTCAACTGACGAGGTCAAACAAGTTCACTTGGTCAACTGACGAGGTCAAACAAGTTCACTTGGTCAACTGACGAGGTCAAACTAGTTCACTTGGTCAACTGACGAGGTCAAACTAGTTCACTTGGTCAACTGACGAGGTCAAACTAGTTTACTTGGTCAACTGACGAGGTCAAACTAGTTTACTTGGTCAACTGACAGAGGTCAAACTAGTTTACTTGGTCAACTGACAGATCAAACTAGTTTACTTGGTCAACTGACAGAGGTCAAACTAGTTTACTTGGTCAACTGACAAAGAGGTCAAACAAGTTTACTTGGTCAACTGACAAAGAGGTCAAACAAGTTCACTTGGTCAACTGACAAAGAGGTCAAACTAGTTTACTTGGTCAACTGACAAAGAGGTCAAACAAGTTTACTTGTTCAACTGACAAAGGTCAAACTAGTTTACTTGGTCAACTGACAAAGAGGTCAAACAAGTTCACTTGGTCAACTGACAAAGAGGTCAAACAAGTTCACTTGGTCACCTGACAAAGAGGTCAAACAAGTTCACTTGGTCACCTGACAAAGAGGTCAAACAAGTTCACTTGGTCACCTGACAAAGAGGTCAAACAAGTTCACTTGGTCACCTGACAAAGAGGTCAAACAAGTTCACTTGGTCACCTGACAGAGGTCAAACAAGTTCACTTGGTCACCTGACAAAGAGGTCAAACAAGTTTACTTGGTCAACTGACAAAGGTCAAACAAGTTCACTTGATCAACTGACAAGGAGGTAAAACAAGTTCACTTGGTCAACTGACAAAGGTCAAACAAGTTGACTTGGTCAACTGACAAAGAGACCAAACAAGATTGTATTGTAGACTGACAGAGGTCAAACTAGTTTACTTGGTCAACTGACAAAGAGGTCAAACAAGGAGGTCAAACAAGTTCACTTGTTCAACTGACAAAGAGGTAAAACAAGTTCACTTGGTCACCTGACAAAGAGACCAAACAAGATTGTATTGTAGACTGACAGAGGTCAAGCAAGTTTACTTGGTCAACTGACAAAGAGGTCAAACAAGTTCACTTGGTCAACTGACAAAGAGGTCAAACAAGTTCACTTGGTCAACTGACAAAAAGGTCAAACAAGGAGGTCAAACAAGTTCACTTGTTCAACTGACAAAGAGGTCAAACAAGATTGTATTGTAGACTGACAGAGGTCAAACTAGTTTACTTGGTCAACTGACAAAGAGGTCAAACAAGGAGGTCAAACAAGTTCACTTGTTCAACTGACAAAGAGGTCAAACAAGTTCACTTGGTCAACTGACAAGGAGGTCAAACAAGTTGACTTGGTCAACTGACAAAGGTCAAACAAGTTGACTTGGTCAACT